TATTGCAATTCGTCGAGACATTGACTCTAGTCATGGAATCTAAGTCCAATAGACCACACTCCATTGCTCTTCTCAGTTCTCAGAATCTTAGTCGAAGACTCTCTCAGATTCAGTCTCTCACTCTCTAGTCTCCCACCTCAGTCTTAGACTCTAAAGCTCGCCGGCGCCACCATTCACTCTCAAGTCTCCATATTCGAGCTTTAAAAAGTTGGACAGTCAGCCTTCATTAAGTCCTCTAGTGCTCGCGATGTCAGCTCCTCCACCTGGTCAGTCTCCAGTGCTCATGACATCTACTCTGATCTCCAGTGGTCGTGACGTCCACCCTGTCTCTGGTACTCGTAACTTCCTATCCTCCTCCTGGTCAGTCCTCACTCCTCAGTCCTTATCTAGCTCAATAAGCTTCCTAGTTCCTTCAAAATTAATTAGTTTTGTCTGACCCATCTTCATCCTCTTGTCTCTCATCATTCGGCCTCACTCCTCCATTCATTGAATGATCAAACCTCACAAGACAGGGTATCGCGACGTCGACTCCTCCTCCTCCTCATCTAGGTTGATAAGCTTCCTGGTTCCTTCAAATGCCGTGCTGATATTGTTGACTCTGTGCTAAATTGAAAATTTGATATTCAGGAGAGGTTAAAACTTAAAAAGATTCAATTATGAATGTTGAATATTGTTGACTTGAACTTTTTTAGAAGGTCTGTGACAACCACTCTTTCAAAACCATTTTAGATTAAATCCAACAATTTATTTGAACGATTAACCATGATAGAAAAGAAGAAACCTTAAAATTTTAAAATCGCTATCATGGTTAAAAGAAATAAACTTATAATAAGAGTAACATCGATCGTTACCTTGGGCCTTGGATTTCCAAAGTCCAGAAATATCATTCAACCATTAGTCCAAACCAAACTTATATTTTCAACCATACGAACTGATAAATCAGTTTAATATAAACTATAGAGCTCATTAGTCAAAAGTCAACACTTGCAAAGGAGTGTTACATGCAGAGTCTAAAATGTCTCGGGCCTCCTCGCAACCCTATCATACTAGATAGTAGTAATCAAAAGTATTCTTTTACATCATGATAGTAGATGAGCCCTATGTGGCAATATATAACAAGTCAGCACATAGAATAAAAGCAGGGAGGCTATACAAGCTATAACAGCACACTATGCCTCCGGAGCCTTCCCTGATGGGCCACCACCTGAACTATCGCCTGAAAATGTTAAACCACGGGGTGAGACAAATGCCTCAGTAACCAACTTTCCAACTCATCATACATACTAACACGTGCTCGTGAGGTGTCAAGTGGGACAGTTATAAATTCTCGAGAACTATAGATATATCCATAGAAATATAATTTCAATCATCCAATCCCTCACTATGGGGGCCAACACACAAGCTACATAAGTCTATCCCTCACTCTGGGGGATCAATCAACCATATGGGCCTATCCCTCACTTTGGGGGACGAATAAGAAGCCACAAAGGCCTATCCCTCACTATGGGGGACGAAAGAAGAAGCCAACCAATGTGCACCAATGGCGGCCTTACCACGTGGTAGGATAGGACTCAATCCCAAAATCCAAATAACAACCAATCATTCACAATATAATAAAAATGTCTCAATCTTTTCTCAGTATAATCCATAAGATATAAATCATATATCTTTTCCAAACTTCTCAATCACAATTCCAAAAATCCCACAAGACAATTTTCATAGCTCAAAAGATATAACATATCTACTCAAGTTCCAAATATCAAATATTATTCTAAAAACAACAAAATACTCACAAACAACATATTAGCACATATAACAAGTGGAAAGTGGTTACCTTTCGCCAAAGCAATACTAAGGATTACCACAAGGTCAATCCTTTGCTCAACCAATAATTAATCTACACAATTAATATAACCACATATTAATATAAACTAATTAATTAATTAATTAAACTTCTCTATATTATTTAAATTTCTAACAACCCCAAATTATTTATTTACCACCTCCAAATTATTTATCTTAATAAAAAGGATTTTCAACAATTTCCAAATATAAAATTATTATGTTATAAATTCTAAAAACACTCTTTTTAAGTTTAAACCTCAAAATCAAACTATCAAAAATTCAATAATATTTCAAATATTTATAAATAAATAATCTAATCAAAACTTTAATGGTATAACTACCATATATATATTTCCATAAATAATAAACTTTTTAGCTACAATAATTATTTTAAAACCTCCAGTCACCCAATAAATAAAAATAAACCGATTAAAATCTTAATAATATGTTAAACACCTCAATTAAATTATTCAACTTAATTTTAATCGGTAAAAATATAATATAAATCATATATAACAGATTTTTCAACTAGAAAAATTTATTTAAATACTAAAAACCAACAAATAGAGAAATCTAAACCGATTAAAATTAACAACTCATTTACTTCTAAATTTCTATAGTCATCTTTTGTCAAAACTCAATAGTTAAATCATATACAAGTCTCAAAATTTTCTCCAATCACTATAGTAATAACATAAATAGGAAGCTTAAAATATACAGGAAATATTTATAAAGAAAGTTTGATAAAAAGAAGTAATTTTATGTACCTAAAATATCTTCAAAGCTTGCCCTCTGTTTCACTGGTATGCTTCTATCTCTCACACACACTTCGGCCCTCTCTTTCTCTCTTTTCTTCTTCTCTTTCTCTCTTTCTTCTTGCGTTTGCCGTGGGGAAGAAATGGATTGTGGGGGGTTATTTAACACCCCCACACAATTATTGGGGGAGGGAAATTTCAACCCCAATTTCCACGCCCCCCTCAATTTTCCACAATCCCCTCCAACTTTCCACCGAAAAATCGATGGAAAGTTGGACTTTTGTTTTTTTTTATATAATAAAATATTATTATATTATATTATATTATATTTTTCAATTACTTTTTTTTTTTGAATTTTTTTTTAAAGGATATTACAAGGTCGCCGGCTACTTGTGCTATGCTTTTCCAGGAAAGTCACATGAAGCAAATACATGATTTTAGTTAATGCTGTGCTGATACATGATTTTTTTTTTCAATTTATTGTACTGATATTTTGCATCAATAATAGAATGCTAATATACGCTCTATGTTTCATTTCCAGTTAATGTCATATCTGTTTGAGAGTGAAACAATATCATCTAATTCAGTTCCTTCTAATGCTATTATGGCTAGTCAACAAACGCTAACAGATTCTAGTCAACAAACTAATGAAGGAAATGATGTTAATGATAGTATTATTCAAAAGAAGAGGCAAAAAATCTTAGCCATTTGGGAGGAGTTTGATCAAGTTGAAACTGATAAGGGCGTCAAAGGGAAATGCAAGTATTGCAAACAACTATTCGTGTACTCAGGGAAGGGAGCTAGCACTAGCCATCTTTGAAGACATGTCACTGTCTGTTTGTAAAGGAAGTTGCTTGTTTCTTCACAAAGCAAGCAACCCACAATTCCATTTCAACCTTCCAATCTGAGCATTAATCCTTTTTTTGGCACTGGGTGCTAGATATTCTAATGAAAAGATGAGGAAAATAATTGCTATTGCAATCATGGTGCATGAACATCTTTTTAATATTGTTGAGAATGAAGGTTGGATGTGAGGCTTTCAATATGCAAATTCTAAATTTCAAAAAGTATCTTGAAAGACAGCAAGAAATGATCGTTTAGCGATATATGAGGCAGAGAGGAAACAATTGAAGGCCTTATTAGAAGGTGTGAACAAGATTAGTTTGACTATTGATATGTGGAAATCAGCTCACCAAGTAGCTGAATACATGGTTATCACCAGGCATTTCGTTGATCCGGGATGGAATCTTCAAAAGTGAGTTTTGAGTTTTGTGAAAGTTCCTGCTCCTATACGAGGAATTGATGTGGCAGATGCTATTTTCAAGTGTTTAAAGGGTTGGGGTATTAAAAACAAAGTGTTTTTTTTGTCAGTTAACAATGCTTCTTACAATGATTCTTGTTTAAGAGCTCTTAAGGACACTTTATCACTTAATAGTTCATTACCTCTGGGTGGTGATTTGTTTCATGTTAGATGTTGTGCACACATATTAAACTTAATGGTGCAAGATGGCCTTGGAAGAATTAGGGACATTATACATAATGTTCGAGAGAGTGTGAAATATATCAATTATAATGACTCAAGGCTGAAAGCATTTTGTGATATTGTTGAGCAGAAATGTTTGAAGGAAAGAAAGCTTATTCTTGATTATCTGACAAGGTGGAATTTGACATATAGGATGCTGTCTACTACTTTGAAGTTCAAGGTTGTCTTTCCTGATTATAAGGAAAGAGAGCCACTTTACAACTATGCACCATCAGAAGAAGATTGGAATAATGTTGAGAAGATTTGTAAACTTTTAGAAGTATTCAATCTAGCCACCCATGTCATCTCAGGTAGTGAGTATCCTACTGCAAATTTATACCTTCCTAAAGTTTAGAGAGTGAAACAAGTTATTGACAATGCCACAGAAGATGGTGATTTCTTCATAAGAGAAATGGCAGCTGCAATGAAAGAAAAGTTTGACAAATATTGGGGAGAATGTAACATGTTAATGGCCATTGCAAGTGTTTTGGATCCCAAGTGCAAATTATATGTTGTTAATTATTGCTTTCCTTTGATTTATAAGCCTGATTATATGGCTTCTGAGAATATAGATAAAGTGGTGAGTGCTTTGAGATCAATGTATGATGAGTATGTAAGCATGTATAAAGGAGACACAATGGGTAATAATGAACTTGATAATGCTGGTAACAACTCTTCTGCCAATGCACTTGGTTCTTCTATAGTTACTGGATTTGATCATGAGCATTGTTCGTGAAAAGCAAACAGTTCCCCTAATGAAATCAGAATTGAAAGCTTATCTTGAGGATAGTGTTTACATTCTTGATGGTAATTCTAACTCTTTCAGTGCCTTGAAATGGTGGAAAAATAATAGCATGAAGTATAAGATTTTATCTAAGATGGCTGCTGACATATTAGTTATTCCAATGTCAACTATAGCATCAGAGTCCACATTTAGTGCTGGAGGTATAGTTATCGATGAATATCATTCCAAATTGAATGAAGAATCAATTGAAGTACTTATTTGTGGTGGGGATTGGCTTCGTAATAAGTATGGCTTGAGAAAAAAAACCAAAAGTATAAATTTTGTATTGTAAAAGTTATATCATTTCTTATTCTTCTTACTTCTTAAATTATGATATGATTTAATATTATACATTTGATTTGTTTTTTTTTCAAGGCACTTGAATAAGATGAAGAAATTATATTGAAAATTTGATGATTTGCTACTGGTGGCTATTCTTCTTAAACTTGTTTGTAATGTTGTTGTATTTGGTATGTTCTTGTTGAATGTTGATTAATAACATTATTTCAACTTGTATTTTAAGTAACTGTGGATTGTGATTTTATTTGAGTTTATTTAGTTGTATGTTCTCTTTTTTTTCCTGTTTAGTAGCTCTGTTTCAAATCACTAGTGGCTTGTTTCGACCTTTTTAGAGGCACAGGCCTGTATTCTGTTAAGGCCTGTTCTCAGCCTATTTAAAGGCCTAAGCCTGTGTTTCAGTAGGCTTGTTAGCCTATTTACATATTTTTAAAAGATACAGGCCTGTTAACAGGCTTCAAGCCAGGCCTGACCTCTATATAGGCTAGGCTTAGGCTAAAAAGGAAGCCTTTAACAAGCTACAGGCTAGACTCAGGCCTATTTGTTACAAATCAGGCTGAGCCTGTTAAGACGATGGCCTGGCCTAGCATGGCATGTTCCATCCCTAATTGTTAAATGATTGTGTAGGATATGACTGTATGCTGTGCATATTGTCATTTGGTTATGTGTGGGTTGTGATTGGCTACTGTGCATATTGTCAATAGCACATATGTAGGTTGTCATTGAATTATGTGTAAGTTGTCATGGCTGCTGTGTATGTTGTCAATGGCCTCTCTGCATGTCGTTATTGTTGTATAACTAAGTTATCATTAACTTGATATGTCCCTACAACACTTTTCTTTAGAAAAAGAAAAGGCCTCAAAAAATAAGAATGCCATTATCTATTGGGATGAGAAAAAGGTAAAGGCAAGAATAAAATCAGAAAAGAATAATGACAGGGGCATACTACATGGTATAACCAACATGGGTAGGGCTTCATCTAGTGCATCTAATACAAAAATAAAGCTAACCTACCCAATAAGTAAATAATGTCGAGCTTAGTTTGGTACTATGTACAATTTGGAGTAATGATTACTTTAATTACTATTATTTTGCAGGAAATAAAAAGAATGTATGAAAGGTTAGTGACCATGGTTGAAAGGTTGGTGTTGACAATTGGAGAAAAGTTGGTTTCCCTACAGTCGAGGTTAGCGAATAAAAGTGAGAAGGAAGATATGGTGAAAGCAGTAAGTAGTGAAGATGATGAAGAGAACTCAAGTGAAAATGAAAAAATTGATAGAGATGATAAAGGTAGCCCAAATGACTTAATACAAGAGAAAGAAGAGAGTGAACCAAAAAAAGATAATAAAGAAGAGGAAAAAAGTGCTCCACATGAAAAAGAAAGTAACTCTGAAGATAAAGAGAAAGAAGAAGGGAGTGACTTTAGATTAGAGGATAATGGTGAAGAAAAAACTAAAGACAAGTCAAGTGATGCTGCAGTAGAAGAGGATAAGGGGGAAGACGATGATGAGGAGGGAAAGATCAAATGAACAAGGAAGCACAAGAGCAAATGGAAGTAAGAAGATCAACACGGGTGAAAAGCCGTGCAATCAAATCTCCCTGGTTAGAGGAGGTGAAAAAAGATCGTGGCAAGAGAAAATTTGATAAGAAAGAGGAATTATTTTGGATGTGCATAATAAGATGTGATAAAGACGAAGGTGACAAGTAAGTGTTTGGACTTATTGTAATAGGGAGAACTGACTGACAATAATTTTAGACATACAACTTAATTACGAATTGTTCCTTTTACTGTAGGTACATTGTAGAGATGTATGGATACTTCCTGACACGTGCTGAGCTTTACTGCCTACAAGATAGGAAATGGATCAATGACAGGGTAAGACAGTTGTTTACACAGATAGAAAACTAACAATGGCATTATAATTATGACTAATTGTTTGTGTATGTGATATAGTTCATGTTTATGGTGGCGAGAACTTTGGTCGCAAATCAAAAAGAAAACTACAGTCATGTCAATAGGCACATTTTTTTCATCCGAGTTACTGCAAACAATGGCCACTAATCCTCTTAAGTGGAGGCTGGAAAATCATGAACATAAAATCTTACTGAAGCAGTTAGGATATAACATTGGAGGCTAAGACTTCATATTTGGCCCCAGCCTTTTGACCATGTTGAGATTATAGAAAAAGGAAGAAGATTCAATCAAAATAGGAGATTATACTATTGGTTTTGTTATGTGATGGAGATAAGAACGATATGTTTCTATGCCCTTGATTCGTTGGTTGATAATTTGACCATGTTGAGATTATAGAAAAAGGAAGAAGATTCAATCAAAATAGGGAAGAAACCAAAGAGAAAGCAGGGGAAAAGGAAATAACAGATAGATCCTAAGCAATTCGTGGTAAGGAGGATTTTATGCACAACTTTTCATTCATTGTATTACTTGTTAATGTATTATGGTTTCTTGTTTGTATAACTATCATCCTTGTTAATGCTTCCTGATTACTTGTCCTTCACTACTATCAAACTTGTTCTTTTTTCCTGATAACTTGTCATTCACTATTGTCAAGGTTGTTAATGTTTCTTGCTAACTTGTCATTCACTACTATTAAGGTTATTAATGCTTCCTAGTTACTTGTCATTCACTACTATTAAAAATTTTTCTTTTTTTTTCTTTTTTGCAGAGAGAATGTTTCTACCAAATTCTTCGCATAGTAAAGCCAAGACTATTTGACGACGAAGACAAAATTGACAAGGAAGTCACGTGGGCAAAAGTACATGTGCAATCTAACACGTGAGTTGTTGTTGTGCACAACAAGTAATTGTGTTTGAGCTCTTGGGAGATAATGTTCATTGACTAAAGTACTAGTATTTTCTTTTCATGGACTCTTGTGGGGTTCATGTCTTGAGTTGGTTACAAATGTGGATGGCACAGAGTATGATGATGACGGCTACACAATGCCTAAGTACATTGTTTAAAAAATCCATAACTTGAAGGTTTTGCTTGTGGTGGCTTGTAACTCATCGGAACAATCTGCATGATAATCAATTACTGTCTTTGCTACAAGGAAACCCCCAAAGCAAAAGGAAGAAATAAATGACCAGTATATATTGTATTTAGTTTTTTTATTTGACAGCATAATGACAGTTGAATGTAAAGTTCAGATTGTGTTTTTTTTATTTGACAATATAATAACAGCTGAATGTTATGTTAATGTGCATTGACATCATTTACTGGTTATGAAGTTTTTTTAATGGCATTCATGTGTAAATTCTTCATTCCAAACCCAGATCATGTCAAAAAATGAAGACTTAATAAAATTGGATAAATAAATGCTAACCATGATGACATGATAGGTATATACCATAGTCCTCTTTGCCAAATCCATTTGCAATCTCAATGACGAGGGTTAACAACCCGAGGAGAAGTGGTTAACAACTCACCTTGTAGGACACCATAACTTCTAAAACAATTGTATTATCAGCACATATAACAATATTAACAATAAAATGGGAAGCATTTTGAAGTCACTAACAGCTTTAAGTGAACCCAATAGGATTACAGCAGATTTTTATTATAGATATTTATTTACAACCTCAACGGTGACTGTTGACAACCCAAGTAGATGTGGTTAACAACCTTGGCAACGCCCCTGACAACTCACTCTGTGGGATATCACAGTCTTCACATGACATCAAATTATAACCAAATCATATCATATTATAACTTTAACATTAAAATCATGTGTTAAGAAATCATTAAGCACTGTAAGTAGGAGAAATTATCACTTTATATCAGTAACTTAACTCAGATTACCAATGACAACCTCCAAGGCGTCTGATAACAAGTCCATGACAACCTATTAATAAGTATAACAAAATAGAGATATGATATTATATCAGATTACAACCAGATATTATTTACCACTTTATATATATGTACAATGTAACTACACCAAATTTACAACCCATTCAAAAAAGCATACGGGTTGCATGTGTACAGAATGATCGAGAACTTGAGGTGTGTGTTATGACATGTACAAAACAATTCTATCGTAAGCATTCACAAAAACAAAAATATACACAAGCCACCAATAAAGGTCAACTTGGATTAGGGTTCTTACAAGTCTTTATAATATGGTATGACTCATGGCATCTTCTACAATGGTAAAGTTTTTTGTTTTGAAATTGAGATTCAATCCTTCTTTTCCTTGGCCTCCTCGAGGGCCTTTTAGTGATTGGTGCTGTAAAAATGTTCCTGTCATTATTTGCGTAAATGTGAGAGTTTCAGTAAGTGGACAATCATGTGTTGCAATTGGCCTCATACTACTTGCATATATTTTCTCTTGGAGAAACAATGTATAGCAATCATCCATAAATTTATAAACACTACCGTGAACTAGCTTTATCACTGCACATGAGTGTACACAAGGTATTTCATTCATTTGCCATACTAAGCAAGTGTATTTGTGCGTGGTAAGATTAACAAGGACACAAATTATTCCACTAAGAGATGCAGTATGAACTTGAACTCGGTTATCTCCATAATATACACTATGAATATTCTCCACTCTTGCTACTTTTTCTTGCAATTTAAACTCAATATTTGGCCCAACACCATTTGTCTAATTTCTCATTGTCATTTTGATGGCAACCATTTTCTTCGCTAATTTCTCTATATGCTCATGTATGAGAACTAAAATATTGTGTTTCCTTTCCTTCAAAATCCAAGCATTAAACGACTGTACAACATTAATGGTGATATTATCCCGTCATTTGAAAGGAAATTTGTTTAAAGCTCATCGATCTACATCTCCTTGAGTCTCAACCTAATCAGCTAATTATGGAAAAAATTATCTCAGTTTCTCCATTACAGCAACATATTCATTCTCAATCCTTGCGTAGGCAATTCCATCTAACATTTTCAATGCGACCTCCTTTGAACTACCTAAAACTCATCCCTTGCCTCAGTTAATTTTTAAATAATATGCACTACAATTTTCTTTCACATGTCTGTAGCAAAAGGCATGTCTCTCACTACCAAATATTGTCTGCACAGCACCTATAATGGTATTATTCCGATTTGAAACTATTGTTGTCTCCACTGATCTTATGATGTCTTTGACATTCTAGAGGAACCAAGTCTAATCATCATATGTCTCCCCACTAACTATAACATATGTTAATGGAAACAGTTCATTGTCCGCATCATATGCATTAGCTGAAATCAATGTCCTCTTATATGGACCACTTAGATGACATCCATCTATATAAAGTATATTTTGACACCCTTATAAAAATCCATTAATTGTGCATCCATAAACAATGAACACCCTCTCAAATCTATTGTTATCCAAGTCTTCCCATTGAGCAATTGTGTTTGGATCAATTTCAATAAGCCTTTCACAAAACTAGGGAATCACCATGTATGAATCCTCTGCACGATCATGTATTTCTCTCAATGCTCTTTCTCTAACCCTATATACTTGACTATAATTCAGTCGCATCTCATATTCTTTGTACAAATTTCTTCTAATTTTATTAGTATTCTTGTCTATATTACCTTAAAAAATCTATCATGATTGATGATGTTAAGTTTGACCTTCCAGAGTGAGATACAACCAAGTTGTCCTATGCATAATGTATATGCTTGCTTCTTAACATTCCTATTATTAAGAACTCAGCATCTTGTCTTTGTCCCATTGAGTATGCACCCATGTACCTAGACATCCCTCAATTTTACACTTCACAATGATCTTTTGTTGATTGTTCTTAATAAATTTGTATGAAAACTTTTTAGCAATGCTATACTTATATAATGCTTGCCTAGGGCCACTGCATTAAAAAATTTGTCATTCTCTAATAACCAAATCCTTCTACTTTGTTGAATTCATTTATGGAATTGAGGTTGGCATCATTTATGAACCATATAGTAATGATAGTGGGTCCTTGCTAAACACATTGAGTGGAGATATGGACAATACATCTGAATCTCTGAACAAGTCTTTCATCCTACATAATATGACAAGTTATGGGGTCGTTAATGACAACTTTTAACCACTGCAATAGCAACTTAAGCACAACAATTGACAATAGACAATATTACTTCAAAATTTAAAATATACAATTTACACATATTGCTCT